GGGTATTTTTCTTGCTAGCTTCATCTTTTGGTATAGTTCCACCTGAAATAATGTATTTTAAGGCCAGGCTGGATGAGGCTTTGAGCAACCTGGTCTAGTGGAAGGTGTCCCTGCTGATGGCAGGGGGGTTGGAACTGGGTGATCTTTAAGGTCCCTTCCAATCCAAACCATTCTATGATTCTATGATTTTCAAGAAAATCAGTTAATAACTCAGAAAAATTTAAATACTTACCAGTGTAAAATTAAATACTTACCAGTGTTACAGTAAATGCTCAAATCAAACTTAAATGAAAAGTTTAATTGTTATTAAAGACAGGAAAACATTCTTGTTAATGTTTTTTCACTTCTATTAGGCAACCAAATTTGCCTTGGGACAGCTGTTGTGGGCTTTTGGGGTTTTTTAATTTGTTTGTTTCTTTTTTTTCCCCCCCTGGCTTCTTCATATTGAATAGAAATTATTTTTCTTCCACTAACAGGCAAAAATTCTGATCATGGTGTAAGTAACTGTCCTGCACAGATGTATAGACTGCTATAATTGTGTTTGATAAATGAAAAAGACTTAAGCTGTTTTAAAGCTGACAGTAAGGATACTGAATTGGTATCTTTGCTCCTTAACAGTTAACACTGGCCTTGTCAATCATTGAGATGTGATTAATGTGGAGTCCTCTTAGTACAGTGGCTTTGTATAGAGCAGCTTGTCAGTGTAGTGTGCTCAGATTCTTGTTGTTCCAGTGACTTCAGAAAACATTTCCCCCCAATGAGTGGATGCTCCTGGGAAACCTGAACAAGCTCTTGTGTTTCCTGTCCTGTCTGCAGTGGCTGCTGGAAGGTGTTCACTGGTAACGAGCTGGCAGCTTTGTTTGGGTGGTGGATGTTTTCTTGCTGGAAGGAAAACTGCTCCGAAGATACTGATGTCAAGAATGTTTACATGTTAGCGACCACAGTCTCCTCGAAAATTTTGAGGGCAATTGCACTGAAAGAGGGATTTCACTTTGAAGTAAGTGTGGTTTTTCTGATGTTTTCTTGGCAGAATAAAATCTGATTGCCATGTTCTCCATCTAACCCCTTCCACATATGACTTTACAAAATGAAAAATAGATGACTTCCAGGCTTTTGACTTCTTTTGACTGGGAGTTTTTATACATTCCAACTTGCAGAGAATGCTGTTTTACCTAAACAAGCCCAATTTCAGCATTTGCAATGTTTTTTCAATTAACATCACAGTGAATGCAAACTGTGGGATCAACTTATGCAAAGCTACAAGGAGGCTGTCACACAAATGAAAACCAAAATGACATATAATAAAAATGCTTTTGTCTTGATTATTTTCCTGGAGAAAAATTCTTCTGTGTGAGAGAATGAAACTGTGCACAACTTGATGTGTTTACTATAGAAATGGACTGATTTTTGGACTTGTAACAAACACACACAGGTTGCACAATGTTCCTGCAGGTCCCCAGATCTCTAGTAGGTTTTATATTTGGTTTTACTTCAAATTGTGACAGACAGAGAAACTGTTATGTTTACATTAACTACATTAATGTAGTTTCATTAAGGACTTGTTAAAAAGCAAAGTTTGCT